TTAAATAATTTTATTTTTTTACAATCTTTGTAGTATTCCAAATACTAATTATTTTGACATTTAAATTAGAATGGAAGCGATCTTAATCACATATTATTTTTTCTATATATATCTAGGTCCTAGTTTCAGCTATGATATTCTTTGCAATGATCCATTTTCCCACCGTTCTGTATGTTTTATTATATGTTATAGTCTTCCTTTTTAATCTATCTTTTTTTTCTTCCTATTCTCTTTATATCCATCATGATCGCTATTTCTTTATTGTCTTTTTTGTGATTTTATTGATTTTTGTCTGTGTATTTTGTCAGGTATCTTAAAATCTTCTCACTGTTTTTTTTTATTTGTTAATCATTATCCTATTGGTCAGGACACACACTCTTTTAAATTCATGACATCACTTTGAAGTGTTTTTTGTTCCAACCTCGTGCAAAAAATAACTCTACTTGTATTGCGTCCCAATCGCATGTTTTGTATTTTTTTATGTGTTGTGTTATTATTTTACCTGTTTCCCATAGTGTTCTCCACTCTGTGCTTTTATTAATCCTGAGGTAGATTGTTATAATGAGAAGCAATACAAAATGTACATAACTTGGGTAGTATGGCTCCGCCTAACCAAATTTCGACAAAATATGTCACTATTTCCAAATGCAAACAATGGGCGTGCTCTGTCGGCTAGTGAAGATGCAAGTTAAAGTCTAATATGAATCATACTTGCTCTTTTCTTTCATTGTATTATATTTTTTTGTGTGTGATTTGTCTATCATTTTAAGGTGGAGATCTTTTGAATAAGATTTAGCACTGCCTATGTTCTTTTTCTCTTCTTATTTGTTTTTATTTCATTTTTTATAAATTTTTAGCAGTACCTATTTTACTCTCTGCCTTTTTTAAAGTTACTTCCAACATCAGAGTATCCACACTTTTCTATAACCCATGTTAATGTATACTGCATAATTAATGTGAAAGATTTATAGTCTATTAAGTGGTTTTAAACTAAACTAGGCTTTGTTAATTTGTGGTGCTTGATATAATAATTTGCACTATAACTGCTCCTATAACTGCACCTTTTGATAGGGATCCTGTAGGGTTTCCTTGAAACTGTCTGGCCACAGGGGAGTTCCATTGCTGCACAATCAAATAAACAGGAAAGTACCAATGCACTTTAATGGAGAAATGAGCCGGCTTCTGCCTGATTTACCTAAACTCAGTAAACGGTCCCTAACTAAGTGTACTGCTCTCCAGAATGTTGCTAGGCTTTCAAGTCGCTTCCATACCAGCCATGATGTTTATTTAGTAAATTTGGTCCCAAGTTAGAGTAAAATACACAATACAAACTGGGTATCTTTGGGCGCTCCCACCGAACCTGCCATCGGCGATGAATCATAGATTGCCACTACTCCGAGGTTCCACAGTGGGACTCCCACACCAACCCGATGGGTGATTTACACATAGCGAGCTCACACTTGACTGGATCATAAAATCCCTGCATCTTTCCCTAGAGGTTCTCCTTCTGGAATGTGGCGCGGTCGAAGTTACATAATTTACTTCTGCAGGATCATGTACTGTAACCTTCTTACCTGCATATCTCAATCTTGCTTCTTGTCCAAATTGTCTTAGCAGACCTTGCCAGCTAACACATAGAAGTGACCCTGTTTCTTTCTGACCCGAGTATTGTTTGTATTGTCCAGCCTTTTCCAGCCCCTGTGTATTTTCAGATGTCAGTCACCTCTCTTTCATGGGATGGTGGTACACTTGGTATATGGAACATGCTCCCATGGGACTTTACCCCCCGCTGTAACTTTTCTTAATCTGCTCTGTGCCAATATCACTATCCCTTTTCAAACACCACACTCTTGTAGCCCTGACCTTTTTCCAGCGTTGTCTTTTTGTTAAACCTGATACTTGTATGCTTGACTTTACCGTTGGAACCCCAATCAACAAGATAGTTTCTTGACGCAGCAGCTTCTAATTGTCCATCCCCTTGCACTCATAACACCTGGATAGCCGATGACTTTGAAGGGTGAATTATGCTTGCATGGAATTGTATTTCAGTGTTGAGCTTGGCATCTGTCTTACCTGCTCAAGCGTACATGGGTTGTAATGTCTCTCTTGAAGTTATCAGTGGCTTACTGAGCACTACCCTCCATTGATTTGACTCTTCCACCTGCTAATGTCCCTTCCCTTTTTTTTCCATGCGCCATCCTCCCCACACTAGAAAGAATCCACTGTCTTTCAACCCATCTGGGCTTGATTATGACCTGACTCATGCAAAATAGCAGTGGGACTAGTCATTCACCTTGGATATATGTCACACTTGAGGTACGCTTGGAGAATTGCCCTTTTGAGTGGCTTTTTTCATAGATTTTTTTCCACAAACCCCTTGGAGTCTTGTCATCGGGAGCCTTTATTCTGGTCTATCTTGGTAATGCGAGCAGTATCAAGGATGCATGTGCGTCAGCAAGAATATCAAAAGCTGGTTGTGCTAGAAAATTTCTAGCCTGACATTAAAGTATTAAGAAACACAGGAAGCTCCCTGCCACACAGCTTTCATGGTGTGCAACTGCTGCTAGTATTTGTATAAATATATATTCTGGTTGTCTCCTTACCCCCTGCTAATTTATCTTTTAGGTCATCATGCAATTGCCCCCCCCCCCTTTCCTGCCTTTCTGTTTCCATTGGTAATCACATGCCATCTGATTACTGCCTTTTGGTGATAATGTTAATCATGTAACATCTGGTGACTGCGTTATCAATCGCTACCATTTATATACTGTCTCTTGCTCTAGTGTATAAAATTGCTTCATTTTATTTGCTCTGGGTCAGCTCACCGCTCTGTGTCTGTCAGTTCACCAGTATGTCAGTATGCTTTAACAAACTCACACCACCACAGCAAACCTCTGAACAAGACTTGAATGGTTTCTTTCTGAAGTTGTATACCGTAAGTTGCATTTTCATATGTTGTCATTTTGTACGGTCTTTCTTGCAAAAGGGATTTTTGATCTCAATGGGACATCCTGGTACAATATTAAAAAATAAATAAAAATTCAATTGATTTTGTGTGTATACCTGCTTACGTGGTTGATCAGGCAGGTCTGCAGTAACAAGTCTCTTCCTGGCAGCAGGTTGTCACAGATCAGGTGCTGGTTGGAGCGAACTGCAACACCATGACACACACACAGCGAACACAACACATCCAGAACCTAGAACGGTACACACATATGTTAGTGTTACAGTATGAATACACACAAATAAATGTGGTTTATTTGCACATGACTTTGAAACTGATTTCAAGGTGGATAATGGAAGCTTGTACACACGTGTGAAAGATATTCAGTTTATGTATACAAGTACTGTATATTTTTAAGAATACCTTGTAGTTGCGTCCATGCTTGTCCAGCAAAGATATAATGGATTTGATGTGTCCCTCTTTGATTATATTTAGTGCCTCAGGACTCTCCACGAGCACACAGTGAAGCACCTCTAGTATTCCTAAAGATACAAACACACATACAGTAAGCATTCAAAACCAGGGACAGTATTCCCAAATCATCCAGGCACTTGAAAGTAAATGGTAAATGGACTTCACTTATATTGCAGTTTTATCCCAATTTATAATTATCATGGCGCAATAATATGGTATATTATCCCATTGCTAAACACTTGTAAACTAATCAACTCATCAAAAAATACTGCTCAGGTCAGGTTTCTTTCATGTGCTGTAGTGTCTTGTTAAAGGCAAGCTGACCTACCAGATGAGGCCTCCAGTCTCTCTAGTCTGCTAATCAGCCAGTCCAAGGAACCAGAAAACTGAGCACAGTTCTTCCTGTTTCCTCTGATTAGTGCCGCTGGGAGGACAGGACAAGGGACAGGAGAGCAGAGACATAACTTAAGAGGTGCTGCTATTATATGATAATGTGATAATCTTTCTCCTTATTTCCACATCTGTGTTTAATATTTTTCATCTCTTTGAATAATTGATTTCATCTAACTTGATGACTTTCCGTGAAGCCCTCTGTAAAGTCTGGTTTAACATTTAATTTACATGTGCAAGTGTGTGTGTGTGTGTGTGTATACCCAGTAGTTGGTAGAGGGAGTTGAGGATGGAGCTCCAGGCCTCTCCTGCCTCCCTTCCTACTGCCTCAGCAAAATGAGCTGCACTGCTGTAGATGTGAAGACGGTCAATACACTCCAATACCAGGCTGATCATCCCCTACAGACACAAGTTGAAGGTTTTACTGATTTATTCATTTGGATTCAGATAAGCATAATAATGAATTGAATAAGAGAATGAGACAAAAGTTCATATAGTCCTAGTGCATCCATATAATCTTAACCATTAGCACTGTGAGGTCCCAACTGCAGATAAAAGAGGTTCAGAATTGTGAACAGTGAGTCTACAGTCACAAACCTCAGTCAAGCTGTATTCCAACTTGACACCCGTGCAGACTTGTGTTTTTTATCAAGGCCACACTTATCCTACATTGTTAGTCATTTCCATGTCTGGATTAGTATGGGGAAAAAAATTGTCTTTCCACATTTCCACTATTTTGTTTTCTAAAATATAAAATTCTGATTTTCAAATAACAAATTGATCATACAAGTGTTTGTCATAGTGTTTGGACCAGGCAAGCCAGTGCAGCCAAGATTGTTCACAACTGTCCTGGATTGTTGACTACCTGA